GCTGATCTGACAAGCTCTGGCTGGTACCAGGAGCCAGTCTTTCTCTTCTCCTAGCTTGAGATTCCTGGGGAAGCTCCGATTTCCTAGAGTCCACTGTTTAAATGGTCTGAAGGTCAGAGGGAGGAGCCAAGTGTCTATAACGCCACCGCTCCCACCAGGGTAGTCACAGAGCCTTGTTCCTTTGCTCCTCTTTGACTCAGTAAGTTAAGTTCATGCACAGCCTGGGATCAAAATGAGGAAAATCCACCGAGTTGGGCAGGTTTCATACCAAGCATGTTAAGTACTGACGGTGTTGCTGAACATTGTATGAAGTCTTACTCAGGCTTTACCCTAAATGGTCTCTAATTCCAGGTCCCTTAATGTTTCGTGGAGCTCATACACATTAGTAGCCATACAAGAAGATGTGGTGGAAATAATCATTTCTCTAGTAAAGTTTTTTTTTTTCTTTCAGGTCAAAATAAATCTTCCTTAATATACAAGTGTGGAGCAGTACGGAGAGCTGGAGGACCCGAGTTTAATCCCTGGATCTGGGATTAAATAAAGAATTGGGCACAGTGGCGTGTACCTGTAACATCAACACCGAGGTGGTAGAGATGGGAGGATCCTTGGACATCATGGGCAGCTGGCTTAGCTGAATGGGTTTGCTCCAGGCCCCGTTGAGAGTCCCTGCTTAAAAACATCAGGTGAGTGCCTCTTAAAGAAAAACACCCAAGGTTAACTTCTGGTACACACACCACACACACACACACACACACATGCGCACGTGCACACACAATTGATTTGGGGATACTCCCTATCTGCTTTTTATTGAAGAAGGACGCTTAAAAGAAATCCCACATTAGCTCAGAATTGAGACTAATAGAGGGTTATTTATTTAGGGGTAGACTCACAGATCACAATTTTCTGCTGGAACAGGGGATAGCAACCAAATCCCGCAGCCAGCAAAGAGACCAGACAGGTGCTTTACACTGGCATAAATAAATTGGTATAAGAGGGCACGCCCAAATGGGCAGGTGACTTAAAGGCTACTGGAGGTAGGAATTCCTACAGCTCTTTATAGGTGAGCCTCAGGCTGCTGTGACGTGCTCCCTTTGGGTCAGCTTCAGTCTTCGGATGGAGTGACCCAGTCTTTGGTGATGGTACTAGTAAGTGGAGCCTTTAGAAGGTGATTGGGTCATGAGGCTGACGCTATAGTCACTTCTTCCATTACGCAGGCGCACACCAAGAAAGTGCTTGCTCTCTGTAAAGAGGAAGTGGGTCCTTGCTTGACTGACCAAGCCCACCATGTCTTGACCACAAAGTTAAGGAGGATTTCCAGTCTCTGGATCTGAGAGGGATAAACATTTCTTCTTGGTAAAGCGTCTAGCCTACGTCACTCTGCTATAGCCTTCCAAATGAACCTAGACATATGTTTTCAGAGGTTCATTCAAAACATATCAGAAGTGCACAGAAGGATTTGTATACTTTTAAGATATTCCTTAAAATATTGGAAAAAAAACTAGGGAATGTGTTTCATGGTTTTTTAATAACACACAACGCCGTGTAGCTATTAAAGTATAATTTCCATAGAATATTAGATGATAGAAAATTCATAATGCCGTGTGAGATGAGGAGAACGTGAGGAGACTTATTAACTGCTGGACTTATTAACCATCATCACGGTTAGGTAGTGGATGCAATTTTGGTTTTTCTTTTCTTTCCTATTTTTCCCTTTAACAAGTGTATTTTTATCATCGGGTAACAAAAATCTACATTTTTAGAAAGATCTGTTCATGTAGGCAGGGGCTGGCACTCGGATGGATCCATCAAACTGACACCCACATTCGAGCCCAGCTGAGTCCCTGCCAAATTTGGAATTGGAAGGTCTTGGTGGTGGTGTTACAGCCAGGACCTCTCCGCAGCACTTCCCTGACCTCCCGAGACTGGGCTGACCTCTTTCTCTTCCATACTCAGAGAATACTGCTGTGCGGTGCTATCCACTTTCTCCTGGATGGCCCAGTGTCAATATAAAAATTATAGCTGAGAAGAGCTTTGAAGGTCGCCTGGCTCAGCCCCAAAGTGCTGCTGCTGAGTCCAGTGAGCCCAGAGAGAGCCATTAAGTCAGCATTTGTTCCCGTGAGTGGCTTTTTTTTTAGCAGGCAAAGGAGCAATGAGGTACTTAGGTCACCTCAGCTGAGAGCCGGTAGATCACTTCGAATGGAATTCATAGGTCACCTTGGGTGAGGACAGTCCATAGGTCACCTCAGCTGGAAGTGCATAGGTCACCTCAGGTGGAGATGGTCTATACGGCTCATTTTTTTTTTGTCAAATTGACACTAGCCCTAGCTTGTCTTCTGAGAGGAGGGAACCTCGATTGTGAAAATGCTTCTATAAGACGGTGTGTAGTGGCATTTTCCTGCTTGGTGATTGATGGAAGAGGGCCCAGACACTGTAGGTGCTGCGACCATTAGGCCAGCAGTCCTCGAGCGCAGAAGAAAACAGACCAAGTAAGCCAGGAGGAGTAGATCTGTAAGCACTGTTTCTCCATGGCTTCTGCCTTAATTCCTACCTACTAGGTCCCTACCCTACCTGAGTACCTAACTTGGTACCTGCCAGGTAAATCCTTTCCTACCCAAGTTGCCTTTGGACTTGGTCTTCATCACAGCACTAGAAACCCTAACTAGGAGAGAGTTCACAGGTCACCTCAGGTGGGAGTCTATGGGTCATCTTAGGTAGGAGTTTAAGGTCACCTCAGGAAGAAGTCCCCAGGTCACCTCAGAACATGGTCTCATCAGGTCTTTGTGCCATCTCAGGGAGAAACCCATAGCTAAGTTCACATAGACATCCGTAGTCACATCAGATAGGTATCCAAGGTCGTCTAGGGAGGATGGCAGTTTACTCGATAGAAGTCTATGGGTACCTTAGATAGAAGAAGTCTTTAATCACTTCAGGTCTGATCCCACAGGCCACCTCACATGGAGTCCTTGGGTCACCTCAGGAAGCAGCTCCCAAATCACTTCAGGTGGATCCATGGGTCATCTTAGGTAGGGGTCCATGGGTCACCTCAGAAAGCAGGTCTAGAATCACCTCAGGTCCATCTGTGGATCACCTCAGGAAAGCATCCATAAGTTACTTTTAATGGAAGCCTTTGCCCCCCCCCCCCGGGCATATCAATTGAACACAGCATAAGAAGATATGCTAAGACTAGACACAAGCCTAACTATATCAAGGCTGGATGAGGCAACGCAGTAGGAGGGAAGGGGTCCCAGGGGCAGGCAAATGAGTCAGAGACGCCTCAATTCCCACTGATAGGAGTCCCATAGAAACTCCAAGCTACGCAACCATAAAAATCCCTGCAGAAGACCTAGCACAGAGCTGTGCGGTCTCCATGATTAATCAACCTCAATGAGACCCTGTAAACCTCTGCTTGGTGTCCTCGACCCTTCTGATGCCTACAATCCTCCCTACCCTTCTTCCTCAGGGTTTTCTGAGCTCCGCCTAAGCCTAGTGTTTGATTAGTTCTTCATGTTCTTAACTTGCTAAAATGACTTGTTGGACTTCCTCAGGGCAAAAGAACAAGACATTATTATTTTTTAATGTCCTGATTGGTTCAATGAATGCTTTTCTTCTTCAGTAGACTTTTAATTTCACACAAGTATAAAAGACACATCAAGATAAGTAGTACTACTGAGAAATGAATTCATTTTATTGAGCCAGGGTCATTGGAGATGTGGGTTTCTGCAGCTGGCCAGTGGCTAATCATTTGTCTTGTTGAATGAATTGTCGGAATTTCCCCTCAAACACCAAGAGAACAGAAGTGAATTAAGAATACTGAATTTACATTGTGTTCCAGATTATCTCATCCAGGCTTCCTGTGAATGTGGTTTTCCAAGAGCACTGGTCTGAGGTTGATATGATGAAAAAGCCTATATTTGGCCCAGAGAGATGGCCCGTGAGTGCAGGAACTTAATGCTCAGCCTGAGGACCTAAGTTCCAGCCGTGTCCCACAGGATGGAAGGAGAGAACCAAGTCTCACTAGCTGTCCTCTGACCAGTACATGTGACAACACACACACACACACACACACGTGCACACTCAAAACAAGTAAACATCATCAAATGTTTTTAAAAAAATCTATTTTTTTTTAAAAAAATGTTCCCTTTAACAGTGTTTGCAAAAGATCCAATAGCTTCCTTACCACTACTGCCCACCAGTGTCAGTACCTCCCTGTGAGTTAGGATTGGAACTGGCTGACCAGGGTGGTGTAAAATCATCGGGTTCAACCAGGAGGAGAAGTATTCTTTTACACAAATGAAGTCATAAATAGACATCCCAGCTATGGTGATATGTTTTCCCAGGGCTGGGAGCCGGCCTCATCTCCCTCCCAGCTCACCATCTGCCTCCCAGCAGGCAAAGAGGAGAGATGGAGACCATCTGTCTAGCTGAGGATGCCGCAAGCAGCTACAGTCCATCCATCTGAACTCGGATCTGTGACTTCAGAGCAGAGCGGTCATAGCTGGTCGTCAGTAGAGAGCCATTTTCAGCACAGCAACAGGGCACCATTCATCCAAATTACCAGCAGATCATCTTCCCAAAGCCTGCTAACTTCTAACCCCAGGGTCCACTGGGGGAAAGGAGTCTTTTCTCTCTGTGAACTCAGTCTTTCTTTGTCGGCTTACCATAACTAGAATGAATCATAAATCCAACTTGCCTGTAAAAGGAAAGCTTGGGCAAGCAAGATGGCTCAGAAGGTAAAGGTGGTAAAGGTGACCCGAATTTAATAGCTGGACCCTCCAAGGTGGAAGGAGATAACTGACGGCTACAACTTGTTCCCTGACACACACACACACACACACACACACACACACACACACACACACACACACACTGTGGCATGTACGCACCCATACACAAACACACACACACAAGCATATAAACAAACGGATGTGATTTAAAAAAGAAACCTTTAATTTTCGATTCATCAGAAACAAATGATAAACCACAGCCAGGTGTGGTGGCACATGGTTTTAGTCTTAGTTCCCCTGCCTTCAGTCTTTGCCTCGGTCTAAATGGCGCCTGTGCGTTTGAGAAGGAGGCATCTTCCCTGAAATCCCAGATGTCTTGCCCCCAGGGCCCAGTGGCCATCTCCAACACAGTCAGTTTTTGCCGAGGATCCCAGCCCTGCTTTGTTTGGTAATTCTCCATGACTGTAGCAAACACCTGAGGTGAACCAGCTTTAAGAAAAGTCAGTGGTTTCTTGAGAGTCAGCCTCAGTGTGGGCTGCTGGGTAAAGGAGTCTGCATTTGCCTTTGTATCCTGGTGGTCCTGCGTAGCAGCGAAGGGTGCTCACCTCACGGGAACCCAGGAGGAGACAGAAAGGAGAAGAATGGGGTCACAGCTCAAACAACCCCCTTCCTCCCACTCTCAAAAGGCTCAATGAACTCCCAGTGTCATGCAAGCCTGGGGTGTGGGGGTGGGCGCACAAACCTTCAACAGGGGACCTGCAGGGAACACGTGTACAAACTGTAGCCCCTTGGCTCCAGGCAGAGTGGGCACAGGTGTTACAGGCAGACTCCTGACCTTGCGATTCCTAAGAAGCACTGCTTGCTTCCAGGCATGGTTCCTGTCCACACAAGATGGAGGGTGCAAAGAGCCTTGGAACACTCCCCAGGCTCGCGAATGACTTCCAGCTTCGCATGCTACCAGCCAGCGCTTCAGGACATTCATGAAACAGCGTGATAAACGTGTCAAAGGCTGCATCATTCATTTTCAGAAACCAATAGGATTTGTGTACTGACCCCAGATGCACAATGGCTCTTTTACAGATTTAGCCACGTGTAGAGGCTTGATGCATATTTCTTTAAACCTGAGAGAGGATATCTGACCAAAGCAAGACCACACCTCTTCACACCCTTTCAAGTTATCACAGGAGCACAGCTGTGAGACTGAATTAGACATGCAATCCTGTCACGGGAATTCACTGGTCCCAGACTTCAGTAACTCCCTGAGAGCCATCTCAGCGGATAGTGACAGACAATTCAGGACGAGATTTGCTAGGTTTTGGTAACAGTTATCTTACAGTGATTTCAAAAGCCAGGGGGCTGTGGAGATAGCTCCGTGAAGCACAGTCTAGCAAACACAAGAACCTGAATGTGTTTCCCGGGACCCATGTGTGAAAAGGTCAAGTGCGTGTTTGTCATCGCAGTGCTGGGGATGCACCGGTAGGCAGATCCCCAGAGCTCACTGGCCAGCCTAGCCTACCCTCACCTGGGAGGCCCAGGTCTTACAAGAGATCCTGTCTCAAAAAGTAAGGTAGATGGCTCCCAAGGAATGCCATCCAAGGTTGAATCTGACATTCACAGGTATGTGTACACAAATATATGTATGTATGTATGTATGTATGTATGTATGTATATATATATGCCCTTACACACACACACACACACACACACACACATGCAAGTGCGCAAAGAAGAAAAATGATTCTTCATGATTTGTTCAGAGATAGCCTGGCTTTTTGGAAAAGGTGTCTGTTCCCCAACACACATTTCCTGAGCCCACAACCATGCATCCAGCACTCCATGTTGGGAACTTACAGTGGCATGAGACATTATCTTGCCCCTTGAGGTGGATGGTTTGGAGTACACAGGAGCAAGAAAAACTAAAGGACAGAGATCCTCTGGGACTTAATGCCTCAGCATCACAGAGCATGTTCTAATTTTCTGTCAGAGTCTAGCTTCTGTATTGTGTTTCTTTTTTTTTTTTTATTAATTTCCAACAGGGTCAGGCGTGCAGAGCCAAGTGGTCAAGATTAACTGAGAGGGGACCCTGTATGAGGTATAACAGGGTCCTCACTAGGTGAACCATTAGTCAAGTCAGGAACCCACAATTTTTTTTTTTAAATCAAAGGGTTGGCCTTACCTCAGAGTGGGTTTTCTGCTCTTCTTCCCAGAGCACAGGGCCAAGCTCCCTCTTAATTCACACAGGGATGGGGGTGTTGTGGTATGCGATGGTTCAAGTCTTTCCCATATGCTCAGTGCTAGGTTACCATGGTTACTGTACCTTGTTATTGCCTTCCTGTTAGTTTGCTTCTGTTTAGTTCTAATGTTAGGAAGAGAGCTGAGAAGGCAAGTACAGGACACCATTAGCATCTCCTTACCATTGAAACCTAAGAAGCAGCCTCCTTATGTCCTGATCTCCGTCCTTCCATCCCCAAAGATGCTTTTCCAACTATAAATTTAAGGACATGGGAATATATTCAAAACGAAAAAATAATACTTCGAGGTATGATGCCCTGTCCTTATATCTGTCCTTTTCCATCTATAGATCCTTTTCTAGCTGTAGATTTAAGGGCGTGGAAAATATTTGAACCAGGAAAGAATACCATTTTTCAGTGTTCAGGCAAGAAAAGGCAAAAGCAGACAAACAACAAACCCACACAACTATTCTATCTCACCTCTGCTCCTGGTTGCTTTAACACCCCAGAATCTGGGTAAGCTGGGTACCTAGTATAGGCAGAAGAGACAGAATCACAGAAAAAATGAAATAGAGTTGGCTGCCATCTAGCTAGCAAGCTGCAGGAATGACACGCTTTAATAGAAACTCTTTCCAATTTTGCAGCTCCAGGGATGCAAAGGCATTTCCTCTACGGGCAGACGTGGTTGTATCCAGGGCAGACTGGTCATCCCTCCACACTTTAGAGGAAAGGAGATGGCTTTAGTCCCAACACTCAATCCCCTGGTTACACAGGCAACGTGATTTGGGAATCAGTGTCTTAGAGGCTTCCCAATTTCAGGCTCCACCCTAGAAACAACACAACACACACGTTAGTTATAATCAGAGAAATCCTGGAGGAGGAGAGGGGAGAGGGTCAGGGTAGAGTAGGTAAAAGAACAAGTACTATTCAGCTCCTGGAGATAGGATTTCTCAGGATCCAACTAAGCACTTTAAAATGCTAAGATACGAAAAAGTCCACAAGCTGAAGGTGGATGGATGGGCCCATGATGGAGCCTATTGCTCCTGTCTGGTCTGCTTACAGACTCTGAAAGGCTTTGCACCTCCGGTCTTAGAGAGAGTCCTGAAGCCTTCCCTTCCTCGCCTCCCACGCAGACGTGCCAAGTTCATTGTTAGGGCTGCCCTCCCAGGAAGATGTGTGCTATTCTAAACCTCTGGATGGTTATTAACTCATGTCTTTTGACCAGGACCCACCATCACTTAGTTTCTTTTAGCACTTGGTGTTGTCCTGAGCAGAGAGCAAACACAGTAGCTTCTGGCTTCAAATGCAGTCATGTTGGAGCATTCTCCTTTTCTGTCTTCTTACATGCTCATCTGTGTTCAGTGGTTCTCAGGGGCAGGTCATGTGTATTTCTCAGTAATGTGAGGATCCTTGAGAAACAATGGCAAGAGAGAGCTGTGTCTTACCAAGTCCTTAAGTTTCCTTTTCTGACATGCCAAGTGCATGGTGATTGTCTGGGAGGCATGCTTTCTGCGGGCCTGTCAGTGTGCCCTGCAGCGCTGCAATTTGGAGGGCAGGCTCAGGCTGGGATCTACCCAGGGTGCCCTTGACGGGCATTTCCCAAATTCTTTGTTCATTCAGCTGTGGAAATCAGAAAACAATGCCTGGCCTACTTATGCACTTATCGTAATGCATTACCCAGAGGAATTTGACTAATGAATTTTTTCTTTGGAAATTATCTACAGTCTTCAAAGCACCAAACAAAAACGGGCTTAGCAAAGGAAGCTTGCAGTGAAAACGTCCACAAAAGAAAAAGAGGCTCTGACTTGAAGTTCATGGCTCAGGTAGAATCAAGATCTCCAACCCCTGCCTGACTCCTGTCAGGCAATACTGACAGCCTGACCAACACCTGTATCTGGCTTCCTATGGTGGTGATGGTGGCAGTGGAGGCAGCACTGGTGTGTGTCTGTGTGTGCCAGGAATCGGGGAGGGGGGGGCAGTGTGATCTGCGACGTAAAGAAGTGGGGTGGTACCCTCCACTGGGGACTCAGCCTCTTCCAGGCATCCTCTCCAATACTTTCCAAGTCCTGTGGATTTCTGCTCTTGGCACACAGCTTCTTCTTCTACCCTGGTCTTCTATGTTGGATGTAGATACTCAGAGTGCAGCCTTTTCTCCTCCAGGGCAAAGGCTGGACCCCAGACTTCACCATCATCCAGAACTCAGGACACCTCCATAAAATGACCCTTGAGTTATGTTCTGAGTATGAAAAGTTCCCCACCAGCTTGTCTATTGAATAATTTGTCTCCAGGTGTGGATGGTTGGCAGGAAGGGGACTGACGAGGAAGCCAGCGACTTGGAGGGTAGTCCAGGCTTTATCCTGTTCTGAGACCTGCAAAAGGGGCATCTGGTGTGAGGGTCAGAGCCAGCCGTCTGCTTATAACCAGCTGCAGTGGTTATAGGGAAGAAAAGGGAAGTCAGGAAGAAGAAGAAAGGAGAAGTTTCCTTTCTTTGACCTGGACTTGGTTGTTGCTAGGGGTAAGCAGGGAGCTACAGGATATCAGGAGATTGGAAACATCCATGGTGGCCACCATGAATTAAGAGGCTGGCTGAGGAGAGGGGAGAATAATCTACAAAGCTACTAGAGTTGAGGAACTCAAACTGTTTGAGGAATTATCATTGTTTAACCAAGGTGGAGAAGAAAGAACAAGGAACAAGATGCCATGGTCATGGCTATGGTCATGGTGCTATTATTTGGAAAGCTCTGGAAACTTTAGGAGGTAGGGCTTGATTGAAGACTGTACTCACTGGGTGGGGGGTATAACCTCTGAAGGTTGCACCTGGGTTCCAGCCCCTTCCCCTCTCTGATTCCCATCTGCTATGTGAAATAACCTGTGTTCTACTGTCCCCTCTCCCTTAAGGTCTTTCTTCCAGAAACTGCTAACAGTCCCCTTTTAATTTGCTGCCTTCTATAAGCACCCCAAGTTAAACACACACACACACTGCACACATGTACGCACACATGTACAGTTTAAAGACAGGACCCACGTGTAAAAGAGAACAGACGACGTTTGTCTCTCTGATCTGCCTCATGGCCTCATTTCGTACAATGCTTTTCCAGTCCCATCCATTTACCTCTGAATGTCGTCATTTCGCTTTTACTTCACAGCTGTATAAAATCCCATTGTGCATATGAACCACGCTTCCAGGATCCATTAGTCAGGCCATGGCGTCCCCACTGAGTCCATCTCCGGGCTACTGTGCGTAGAGACAATGAGCACAGATGAGTTCGTCTCTCTCCAGTAGGGTACAGGGACTCATTCATTTTTTTTTTAATGCAGTGAATATTGCCTTTTTTCCTGGGACAGAAATCCTTTTTCCGCTTATAAGATCTAATTTATGTGCACTGACATTGCGTTAAGGGTGCAGGCGACAACTCAGCAAGCAAGCGTTGTACTTAAGCAGGTTGTCACCTAGAACACCTACAGGTAGCTTTCCTACTGTGGCTCAAGGCTCCCCCGACTGGAGGAATGTTCTGGGGTCAAGGTCAGCAGCTGCAGTTTGTATGACCCACCCTGAAAAGTCACCTAGTGTCTTCTCTAACAAATACCGCCAGTTGGAATCGTCTCAAGTCACCTAGCACAGGAGACCCAACTCTGTCTTTTACTAAGAGGACTGTCAGACTCTGCAAACCTGCTCCATGTCAGGTGTTTCCCTCAGTCCTCTTCATGAACCTGCGCTAGCAAAGCTGACCAGCAGGCTCCAGGCACCCTATGGTTTCTGAACCCTCAGTGCTTGGTTACAAGGGCTTGCTCTTATGATTTTAGACTTTTTATGTGGGTCGTGAGTGTCTGACCTCACTTCTGGGGATCCAAGGGCTTCCCCAGCTAGGCTGTCTTCCCTGCTCTCATCCTCCTACTCGGGAGCTTTCAGAATGTCCCTAATTCTTGACTTCATGTGCTTATAATGACATGAACACATCTTCATTGTGTGGGTGTGGTGGTTTGAATAAGAATGGCCTTCCTAGGCTCATAGGGAGTGGCACTATTAGGTGTGGCCTTATTGGAACGGGTGTGGCTTGGTGGGAGAAAATGTGTCACTGGGGTGGGCTTTGAGGTTTCAAATGCTCAAGCCAGGCCCAGTGTCTGTTTGTCTTCCTGCTGCTTGCTGATCCAGATGTAGAACTCTCGGTTCCTTCTCCAACATCACATCTGTCTGCCTGCCACCATGTTTCCATCATGATGATAATGGACTGAACTTCTCAGTTGTAAGCCAGCCCCACTTAAATGGTCTCCTTTATAAGAGTTGTCTTCTTCACAGCAATAGAAACCCTAACAAAGACAGCAGGTATGGCCTGGCAGTGGCTGGCACACGCAGAACTCAGGAGGCAGAGGCAGGCAGATTTCTGTGAGTTCGAGGCCTGCCTGGTCTACAGAGCAAGTTCCAGGACAGGCTCCAAAGCTACAGAGAAACCCTGTCTCAATAACAAGAAAACAAACAAACAACAACAAAAAGACAGTAGGCATGATATGTGTTATGACTTAAATGGACAAGGTACAGTTATGGTGAACCTTATGTATATGGCTATCTTTCTGTAAGAGGCGGCACAGAGTCAAGTCACACACACACACACACACACACACACACACACACACACACACACACACACACACCCTTCTGGGACTCTTGAAGCACATAGCCACATGCATGTCTTTGCAGAAATGCAGTACTGATTTTCACAACATCGCCGCTGTCCACCATCAGTACTAGAGTGTTCAGTACTCCAGTCCACATTTTTGTTTCTGCCCCCTGGCCATGAAGTACCTGAAATTGGGGGTATTGTTTAAGCTAAAATCCAGAGGCTATATTTTAGCTTTCTGTTCCAGGTGGAGGCTGAGGGTCCGAAGATGTTTCAAGTTGCTTTTTAGAGTGAGGTTCCTGTATTTTCAGTAGTCTGGGCAGCAAATGTCTCAGCTGTCCAGTGGACAAGACAGAGAAAGACAATTCCTATCTGTATCCTTGGTATTAATGTAGTAGGATAGGGGCTGGGTGGACAAGCACTGTTGCTCAGAAGTGGCAGAGAGAGAGAGAGAGAGAGAGAGAGAGAGAGAGAGAGAGAGAGAGAGAGAGAGAGAGAGAGAGAGAGAGCGAGCTCAGTCCTACTGACTGCACTGGGGAAGGGAAGAGGGAGCCAGGCAGCCTCGGGGTGGTGGCCTGGCCAGAGTCTGGCGCCAACAAACCTGCACTTTCCGGTTTAGGAAGCCAGGTAGGGGGCGCGGGCAGCTAACAGCTCCCGCCAAGTGGGTGCGCGCTCTCTGCCAGCTCTGCTACCTGAGCCGGCAACCACGTCACTGCCACATCATCTGGCCTCTTCTCTTTGCAGGGATCCAGGAAAGGGAGCGGCGGCGGGAGGCGCGGGGCGCGGGCGCCGGGAAGATGCTGCAGTCCCTGGCCGGCAGCTCGTGCGTGCGCCTGGTGGAGCGGCACCGCTCGGCCTGGTGTTTCGGCTTCCTGGTGCTGGGCTACCTGCTCTACCTGGTGTTCGGCGCCGTGGTCTTCTCGTCCGTGGAGCTGCCTTACGAGGACCTGCTGCGCCAGGAGCTGCGCAAGCTGAAGCGGCGCTTCCTGGAGGAACACGAGTGTCTGTCGGAGCCGCAGCTGGAGCAGTTCCTGGGCCGCGTGCTGGAAGCCAGCAATTATGGAGTGTCGGTGCTCAGCAATGCCTCTGGCAACTGGAACTGGGACTTCACCTCCGCGCTCTTCTTCGCCAGCACCGTGCTCTCCACCACAGGTAGGGGCCATGCTGCTACCTTGCCCTGGCCCCCGGCGACCCCAGGCCTCCCCTGGGCGCATCCTGCGGTGGCCCGCAGTGGCAGCCGGCGAGGTGACCTCGGAGCACTACGTGGTTTTTGCAGCTGTTAACTCTTCAGGAGTAGGTCCCTAACACCCTGGACTTAGCTGCCGCAGGGGCCTCATTAGCTGCTCCACACTTGTGGGGACCCTGAGCTGATGGGCGGGTGGGACCCTGACATTCTGTCCTGGAAACTGAGCAGCAAGGTTAGGGGCTGACTGAGAGCCTTCAAGGGGTGTTCGGCTTCCTGCTGACTCCATCCCAGAGACCCCAGGCTGAGGAATCTAGCAATGACACTTGGATAGGTCACCTTCGTGACTGTGACACCAACTTCCCGACTGTAAACCTATTTCAGCTTCTTTGAATCTGTTTGGGGGACAGTGGTGACATCACTCTGCTTTTTCGCAGGTGACCTCTGAGCAGACAGGCCTATGGGGTTTCTGGAGTCAGAGGGAGGTGGGCGCAGGGAAGGGGGTTTCACTTGGCCTAGACCCCACACTGTGGTGATTCCAGAATTAGCAGTTACTTTAACTTCAGATGTGTTTGGCTCCCTGACTATTTAGAGGCGCCCGCTACCTTCTGCAGGAGGCTTAGAAATCCAGCTGAACATACATGCCCCGGGGCGCACTGGTTCGACTAGACAAAGAAAGGCCAGGTTTCGTCAGTGGCGGCTGACCATGCGTGCAGGTTAGCAGGCTCTGGAAGACTTAAATAGGTGCATGGACAGCTAGAGGGACTCTCAAAGGGCCTCAGTACTGTCCCTTCTTCTTATGCATGAGAGCCAATCTTTGAAATGGTCCCATTTGGCAGGCACAAGGTCACACAGTGCCCAGGGACGCTCTGGGATCTGGGCCTCCGGAGTTCTTGCCAGGAACAGTGTGTTATGCCCCTGCCCCACCTTACCCAGTGACTCAACATCACCTGGGCTACTCCAGCCCTTCTGCCACCCTGCCCTGCCTCTCTGACTGGCCCTTCAACAGCCTCCTTTGGGCCATGGCTAGTAAATTATTTTATTAATCACCCAATAATGAGTGAACACACTCTCCAGCCAGATCAGGTAAATTTATTGTTCAGAAATCTGGGGTGAGTTACTGAACTTGCTTCAAACACAAGGAGAGTTCTAGACTGTATTGTGGTATTTTAAACTGTGTTAAACGGATGCCCAAACAAGACAAACCTGTTGGCTCACTTTCCAAAGAAAGTCTGCCCCTCCCCTGCTGCCCACAGTCCAAGTTTTATGGCAACATCGCCCAGTTCTTCAGGTCAGTCAGTCAGGTCTTTGTGGATTCTCTTGGTGCCAGAGTGTAAATCCCTCCTTCTCCACAGACACGGATACTTACAGAAAGTTCACAACTGGTTCACAACATCGAGTGAGCAGTTTGAAAATGAAGACTGCTCCTCCAGGGGCTGGGGGACAGGGTGAGGGTAAGAAATGCCACAAGGAAAAGACTGTATGCTTTTCCTGGGCGGAGTTTTCAGGTAGCCCCGACGTTTCTGAAGAATCGTGGTATTCTGAGTCCTCTGAATTGTGTGACAAGAGCTAGTTCAGACCCTGTTTCTTCTGGGAAATGTTTGTCTATTTAGTGTGCAACGTAGCCCCTATAATTAAAAAACATTACAGTGCCTGGACTAGTTGGGGTGGAGTGGGGGGCTCGGCAGTTGACATTCGGATTGAATTGTTGTTCCTGAGAAAGAAAGTCTGAACTCTGGTGGTGGAACAAGGGTTCATTTAAGAAATGAGAGCAAGGGGCACTTAGGGATAAGCCAGACAAAAGAGGAAAAGAGGAGACCCGATTTGTGAAACCAGCTGATTGGTGAGACCTTCTTCTGAACGAAGTACTGTGAGGCAGAGCCCTTCTCTCGGATTTGAGCTGATGCCATCGTAGGACACATTTGATAGCCCTCATGGTCTCCAGAATGGTTTTGTGGCAGAAATGCAGACAGCACTAAGATTAAGGCTGATAGGTTTCATTGCTAAGAAACTGTTTCATGCGAGAGAAGCAGGACCTCAGATGCCCCGGAGTTACCCCTCTCTTAGGCAGGAACGAGTCACGTGCTTTTAGCGGTAGACTTCTGTCTGGCATAGTAATGCCAGGGCTCACAAAGGCATCTGTCTGCTGGGCTTGCTCTACTCTCGGCACTGAGGAAACTGAGGTAGGTGGATTGCTGTGATTTTTGAGGCAAGTTGAGGTTAGGTAGTGAGCGAGACCTTGTCTCCAAGTGAATCCGAGCAACAGCGAAACACACCAAGATGCCCTTGCTGGCTGCCATTATTGTATCACGGGCTAATAAATGCTTTTATCCCTGCCTGCTGGCCCCTACAGTGCCAGCTTGCATCAATGGAAGGAAATGGGTGAAGTCTTCCTGGTCTGTTTAGAAGAAGCCTCAGGAAAGCCCAACTCCTCACTGGTCTGCAGCCATACTCTGAACGTGCTTATTTTCTGAAGCTAAGCAGGGTAGGGCCTGCTTAGTACTTGGATGGGAGGCTTCAGTAAGCACAGGACACCATGTTATCTATCCTTAAACCACTGAATGCCTGGTAGAGGAGGCGTGACGGTTGCTTCTCCTCACTGCAAGGCTCTTGGCTGAAACACTAGAAACAGAGAGGCATGTACACTTATTTCCTGTCCACTTGAGTGGCATGGCAGCCTCTAGCAATGCATATGGGCATTTCTACCTCTGTCAACAGAGCGGACTCTCCCAGAATGAGGGTCTCTTCGGAGGAGGCCTCTGGAGTGAAGGGAACAGAGCAGTGGCCTTCCCACCTCTACCCTTGCCATGAATGTGGAGCAGCAGCTCTGAATGTTATCAACCTTGGTTCAGTTAAGGCTTCAGAAGTGTCTTGAAGCCATGTGAGAACAGAGGAAAGGGTGCACCAGGGTCAGGCTTTTCCAGGGAAGGGAGGCATACAAGGGAAAGAGATCACAGTACCCATGCACCTTCTATGCTGCAGCCCCATGCGCCTTCTATGCTGCAGCCCCATCACCTTCTATGCTGCAGCCCCATGCACCTTCCGTGCTGCAGCCCCATCACCTTCTATGCTGCAGCCCCATGCACCTTCTATGCTGCAGCCCCATCACCTTCTATGCTGCAGCCCCATGCGCCTTCCATGCTGCAGCCCCATGCACCTTCTATGCTGCAGCCCCATGCACCTTCTGTGCTGCAGCCCCATGCATCTTCTGTGCTGCAGCCCCATGCATCTTCTATGCTGCAGCCCCCTGCACCTTTTATATTGCAACTCTATGTACCTTCTATACTGCAGCTTCATGCACCTTTTATATTGCAATCCCATGCACTTGCAAAGGAAATAACATTTGGATTTTCGGAGAATAAGAGACAGCTCTGTGTCTTCAGCAACTGTCTAAGTCTTTCAGCCATGTCATACAGTCTTCGCTCTCCCTCTTCCTCCTCCCCTTACTCCCTTCTGTTTGTCCCTGTTTTGCTTTGTTGCACTGCTGGTCTTAAACCCTTGGTGGGTCTCACACGTGCTAAGGAAGCATTTAGCCATATCCCTTGGCCTTTCCACACATTTATTTTTGAGATGGAATCTCTCTAGGCTGTGTAGGCAGGCCTCAAACTTGAGGGAGCAGCCACCTGAGCCCTGGCAGCTTTTAAAAAGGGGATGGGAACTGGTGCTAAGAGGGTACTGTTTGATCCTTAGTTTTAAATCTGTTGTCAAGAGGGGAAATATGTCGTTACCCTCAGCCAGTGAGCAGGAGAGGTCTGAGACAGACACGGAACGTTAGCACCCAGTACGTAGCTACACTACAGCCTTACAAGGCCCAAAGCACGGCCTTCATGTTTTCAAACAATTAGGGAAAATAGCAAAAGTAAAATCTTCCCAACACAATAAAAGTTGACAACAATCCCTTTTCATGGTGTGTAAGAAGCCTATTGACCTCAGTCATCCCTGTCATTTCTGTGTTCCTTATGGCTGCCGTCTGGAGGCGTTGAATGGTTGTCATGGAAACCATAGGGCCACACACCCTAAAACGGCGGTTTTCTAAGTTTTTACAAAGTAAGTTTCAGACACCTGTCAGGAATGTTCTGGAAGAAGAGCTGAGAGTCTGTAAGCTTTATGAGTCTGCCCTTTGCTTTTGCCCCCTTGCTGGAACACAACCATAGCAAGGCTCCTCCTATTTTCTGGGGCTCTTGAGTGGATGCCACCTCTAAGATACTGATTCCCAGCCAGCCTGTCGGGAAAGCAGTAGTTACCATAGGATGTCACAAAGTCTGTGACACAGCCCCATTCTTTCTGAAGGGCAACAAAGCCGTGCTTAACCCTAGGGTTGTTTATCAAAAATGAGCAGAGATAGATCATTGTGGAGACATGCTGGTCGTCCCAACACTTCAGAAATAGAGGATCAGGACTGCAAAGTTAGCCTCAGCTACGCGAGATCCAGCCTCAACAAAACCAGATCCAATCAAAGGACAGCATATACTCCATCTGGAGTAGGAAAGAAAGCAAAAAGTCCCTATCAGCCAGCGTGGAGCTGTAATCCGTGGAGGCAGCCTGTAAGCTTTGGTTTCTCTGGAGAACCTGTTGGTTTCTGTTTCTTTTTTAAAAAAAGATTTATTTTAAATTATGCGTATGTTTATGTGTAATTATGTACACAGGAGTATAAAGTGTCACCAGAGACCACAAGAAGGTGCTAGATTCTCCGGAGCAGACGTTCTAGGCACTTATGTGACTCCTCTGCTTGGGGACCGAACTTGGGTCCTCTGCAAGAACAGTGTAGGCTCTTGACTGCGGATCTGCCTCACAAGCCTGGGTCTCAGTTTTCATCCATAGAATTGTGTGGTTTTGTGAGCCCATGTGGACTAAAGTGGGAAGGATCAGCTGCAGGAAAACGCAAGAGAAGGGCAGCAGAAAGACAGACAGACTGCAACCCCCAAAACTGAAGTGAGCTTCTAAAGACCACCCGGTGTAGAGACCCATC